TTTGTTTATTTTGAATATGCGCCCTCTAGTGGCGAAAATTACATGTTGTGCCTTTAATCCTACATCATACCTAAACTTGATAACTACCTTGCTAACTATTAATAAGTCATAGTTAATAGTTAGTTAGTAGTGAGAATTGCTCCCCAAACTAAAGTGTCACCCAGTTCAGTTTAAATTTACTGCTGTTTCAGTTTAATTGCAGGTGGGTTGTAAAGATTTCCAATTTTAAAATATACCATGGTTCTAAAACGGAATTTTACTTGTGGCCATTTTTATTTTAGTTTGTTTTGAGGTTATAGAAATGATGGAGTGTTGACGTTCTTTTTGTACTATCTCTCACTATGTTTGTCATTGTATACAAGAAGAGCAGCATAACAATTCTTGAAAATGTCTCCTTTAATATGTCCTCTTGGCCTTGGAATAATAACCGTGAAAGAATGCTTTTGCTGTAGCGTCCCATAAGGCATTGCAAGGTTATATAGACAAGTGTCCTTTGAACTTCTGAAGCATGTACTAACCTATGCCATCAACAGACATCTCTCAGATGTACCCAAAGCTGTGTAATTGCATGTGAAATGCACCAATTAAATCCATACCGTGCCATGCATTGTCTAGAGGGATCTCAGCTCCGGCTATGAGCGTGCACTGTACTGGAGTGTTTTTAATTAGCATTTTGGATATCCATCTCCTCTTTGACTGGCCTTTAATCTCGCTAGTGTGTGAAGCTCTCCAGCTAATGATGAGGCAAGGTGTTATCCAAACAAGCTTTGCCTTCTACAGCTCTCCTTTCACCACCACCATCATATGGATATGTTTGCTGGAGTTGCTGCATTATTAATTTTTATTCATGTGCATATGAAAACAGTACAGCTCAGAGGTTTACACATTTGACTCTTTCAGATTTAATTTCATGCTAAAATAAACTATGTTGCTTCTCTTTTTAACATAGTAGCCACCAAATTACCATAGTTACTACAGCTACTTTTACTGTTTTAACTTGGATGTTGTGGTGTAAATTTAGTATCACACTACTTTAGTGCAAACTACTAAAGTAATCTGATCAAATAACAGATCACACCTCAACAATCGTATCATGATGTGGCTGTGGTTGACTTACTTTTAATGTGCTTCAGATCTGCACCAGGCTGTCTGATTAAATTATTTTATTTACAAGTGTGTTTTCTGTTATGTATTTAAATCATTTCAAACCACTATATCAAAGCTAGCTCTTAATGTTTTGGGTCTCTTCGAATTTCTGGTACCTTCTCAATCAGAGGTGTGATATTTTCTTCCTCAGTGGTCAGACTTACAGTTTTTGTATTGTGGCAAGACTTGCATTTAAAAATGTAGAGATCTAGAGAATCTAGAGAATTTCTTACATTGTAAAATGCGAGCATCCGCTTAGAACACCAAGTTCTGCAAATAACACTTACATTGTCTACAGTAAATGTAAAAATCTTGTTATAATTCATTTCTTTCTTTCTTTTTTTATGCCTTTAAGTTCTGATGTGAAGTTATCACAGTTTTACTAGTATTATCTACTGTAGTAACCTCGGTGATTTAGTAGAAACTATGATTAACTGTTTGTGCATTGATCCATCATTTCTGAAGATTCCCTAATGTCTCATTATATCACTGTTACGTATATGATCATCCAGCAGAAAGACATTAGGATACAGTCAAGACCTCGTAGCTACAGTGTAGCGTTTCTCTCAAACTAAAGAGAGGCTTTATAGTGAAAGAAGATGTGCTGAAGCCATTAACACCAAAATTCCCAAATATCAAGAGCGAGGAATAACAATCGAGGGACGAGTGTGTCCCTTCAGGCAAAAGACTTGATGCAAGAATCTGTATAGCCAAATAATTATTACCATGAGAACTTATGTTACCATAATAATGGGGCGTTTGGTGCTTTCATGTGGTTCGCCCCCTGACAAAATAAGCCTAATCTGTCCCTCTTTGTCCGCTCCAAGTTCACTCCCAACTCCCACACAATGAACGAATTCCAGTAAAACCGTTCCTCCAAACACTTCTGCACTATAAACAGTTATCTATCTAGGCCTGAGCTGCACCGCTGCCCTGCGCTGTGCTACTGCTGCTGCTCTCTTGGCTGCAGTTGAAATAGAATCTGAATTTGGCCTGCAAGATTTCAAAGGGCCAGTTTTTCTAATTTTCATTTCGCTAGAGCTTCATTAAACAGTCCGTCTTCTCTCTCCATGCTCCTCTGTTCTTTTTCAGTTTTCAGTTTTGTTTGGACAACAAAATTGATAACCATCGAAATCTGTTCATTAATAAAAACCAATAATGCATTACATGGGATTTTGATTTTACTTTTTTTATGGTCTTGACATATAATCATAAATGTTGCATAAGATTACAGAATGCAGATAAACATGCAAAGTAATTGGGCAAAATAATCAAGTTTTGCTTAAGACTTTCTCAAAAACAGTTTAAGGTGTTGACATAACACACTGTTGCTTATGCATAATCAGTGAAGTCATGTAAAATGTTTCAGTAGCATGTCATTTGCTCAGTTATTAATATAAAATTAAAATAGTGAAACCAGTGCTGTATGTCAGGCCTGTGTTCCTGTCTCTTGTGTTTTGTTCCCCAAGTTCTAGTTCTCCCTCGTGTTTCCTTATGCCCATATTTGGTTTGGTTTCCTGTTTTAGTTGTCTCATTATTAGTTGATTCCTCGCACCTGTCACCACATGTGTAGTCTGCCTCATGTTTTCTTGTCAAGTCTTAAACGTCATTCCATGTGTGTCTCCTGCGCTCCCTATGTTAGTGTTCCTTTTCTTTTGGTTTGTTTATTAAAAGTCAAGTTTTGAAAGTCATCTCCTCGTTTTCCTCCTACGCACCGTGACAGAAGACTCGACCACAAAAAGATGACTGACGTGCTGTGGGGTTTGCGTCAGGGCGGTCTGAGGTTGGAGCGATATGTGGAGGGTTTTCTCGAGCTCTCTAACCGGGTGAGCTGGCACGACGCCGCTCTAGGTGCGTGCTTCCTGCTGGGGTTGGAGGACGAGATAATCCTCTGCGATCTTCTTATGTGTGATTTTCCCCTGATCGAGCTGATTAATCTCATGCTGTTCCTAAATGGTTCAGATTTTGAAGTTGAAGAAGTAAAGAAACTTCCCGAGCCTCGTCATCCAACTCCCGCTGGAATGCGCAGCGTCGTGCCAGCTCACCCTATGCCGAGAACCTCCACATACCTCTCCAACGGCTCCTACCGCCTGCCCAACCCCAAATTCGCCGCTGTCCTCCGAAGCTCAAGCCCGCCAGCCAATCCGATGTCAGGCCCACCAGCCGCTACGAAGTCAAGACCACCGGCCGCACCGTTGTCAAGCCCGCCGGCCCCCATTGATGCAAGCCCGCCAGCTACCCAGTTCACCCGTAACCAAAGGAGGAGGACGAAGAGAAAAGGACTGTTCTCTGCCTTCATCCTAGCCCCAGAGCTCGCTCCAGCATCGGCTCCAGCCACAGAGCTCGCTCCAGCGTCGGCTCCAGCCCCAGAGCTCGCTCCAGTGTCGGCTCCAGCCCCTGAGTTGGCTCCAGTGCCAGCTCCTCGAAAGCACCTTGCTGTGCCTGCTCCTCCAGAGCACCCTCCAGTGCCAACTCCTCGTAAGCGCTTCGCAGTTCCCAAGTATAGCCCACAGAGGGCTCCAGTTCCCGAGTATAACCCAAGGAGGGCTCCTGTTCCTGAGTTTAGCCCAGGAAGGACTCCTGATCCCCAGTTAAGTCCAGGGAGGGCTCCTGATTCCTCATTTAGCCCAGGACAGGCTCCTGATCCTCAGTTCAGCCCTGGAAGGGCTCCAGATCTCCAGTTAAACCCAGGGAGGGCTCCTGATACCCCGTTTAGCCCAGGGAGGGCACCTAATCCCCCGTTGAGCCCGGGGAGGGCTCCAGAACCCTGTTAAGCCCTGGGAGGGCTCTGGATCCCCCATTAAGCCCAGGGAGGGCTCCAGATACTCAGTTAAGCCCAGGGAGGGCTCTGCCATGGGTCCCGAACGGGCGCCACCCTGGAGGCCTTCCGTCCTGGAACCCTGCTCCTGGAGGCCTCCAGAGTGACCACCCCAGTTATGTCAGGCCTGTGTTTCTGTCTCTTGTGTTTTGCTCACCAAGTTCTAGTTCTCACTCATGTTTCCTTATGCCCATATTTGGTTTGGTTTCCTGTTCTCGTTGTCTCGTTGTCTCATTATTAGTTTATTCATCGCACCTGTCTGTCCCTCGTTAAGTTTAGTATAAATGTGTAGTCTGCCTCATGTTTTCTTGTCGAGTCTTAAATGTCATTCTATGTGTGTTTCCTGCGCTCCCTATGTTAGTGTTCCTTTTCTTTTGGTTTGTTTATTAAAAGTCAAGTTTTGAAAGTCATCTCCTCGTCTCCTCGTTTCCCTCCTACGCACTGTGACACAGTATCAGTGTAGTCTGACATCAACTGTTTTTGTCATGTTGGGTTTTGCACAACCCTAGTTGAATCAGAAACAAGTCTTTTCTTAGTAGTGTTTTTAAGTCATTGCATGGATTGGCTTTTCTATAGAAATAACACTCATATATTCCCATTTAGTTTATGGAATTACAATTTAATAGTTTTAATGAAATTAGCACTCTTCAGTGTAGTTCACTGCCTTTTTTACTACAAAGAGTAGCTTGACTGTAGTTGAACTGCCTTAAGTTACAGAAGTTTCTCCAGCACTGAAGCTCTAAACCCATTTCTTCTTGGTTTGTTGACATTCAGAGCATATATTGTAGGTGATTGATTATGTAACACCAGCAGCTGAATTGAGATCTTAGCTTCCAGTGAAAAGACCTGCTGAAAACCTCAAAGACATTGCTGGAGACTGTGACTCCAGATGGCCAAGCATTAAATTCAGCAGAATCCATTATCTGAGTAATTAAAGCAAACCCCGAGGAGCTTGACTGATCACTGAGCTCAGGAGCCTGTTGCTGACATATCTGTTATAAGATGAACGAGCGTGTGTTTGGATGTGTCCACACAGGTGATAGCTGAGCTGCAGACGTCTCTGAGCAGCGTCAAGGAAGACAGCCGCCAGACGCAGCAGAGTCTAGAGAGACAACAACAGGAAGCGCAGAGCCGCTGGGAGACAGCTCAACAGAGATGCTGACCAAACCAGCAAGGTCAGGAAACACAAATACACATCATGTAATCTTATCAGCAAGCAGACTGTTAACAGGCAGCTGCGTGATAATAACAGTATAGCAAATAGGTATGATTTTGGTGTTGCAGGTGTGATATAAGCATCTCCAGATGCATATCAACACCGATTGAGTATTCAGTTACTTATTTCATATGCAAAGAGGTTAGCCAATCACACAGGAATTTTTAAAGGTACAGAAGCAAAACAAATTAAATACACATGAAAAACCTAAACATTTTTGGTGAGCAAACCTAGTGTAATAAGAGGATTTGGGCAACATAAGTGTAGAATATGGCCCAGCAAAATACTTTCATGTAAGTTGGCATGTTAACATCCTTAACAGAGAGGCTTCTTTAGATTCATCCAAATGATTTGTTCCGTTGTCTTTGCCAATCCATCATGGCTGACTGAGTGTTTTCAGCTCTTTATGTGTGTAACAACTGAAACAACTCCACACAAAAGGCCTCCAACATGCCTTTTTGCATGACAGAGGAGACGGTACAGAGTGCCGGAGTCTGGCCCGGCTTTTATGGAGTAGACATGACTCTGCTGTCCTTTGTGGAGCTTTCAAAGAGGGTTTGGGATCATGGCCGATTGGAGTGTGGTGTTTTTATGAGCGTTTTGAAGTGGTGACCCCTGCTTTGAGCTGCTCGGTTTTGTCACTAAGGCTCTAATGCTCTCTGTGTTCAGGGTCAGAATTAGAAATCACTCCTTTGGATCTGACCGCTGCTTTTCCTGTACTCTCCCAAACGGTGAATATGGTGTGTACGTCATAAACATTATAAGCACATGCTGAAATAGAAGCTGTGTTCAGAATGGAATACTAGCATTGTGCATTTAAAAAAATAATACTATGTGCAACAGTATGCAACAGTAAACTGTACAGTGGCATGCGAATGTTTGGGAACCCCTTGCAAAATCTGTGAAAATGTGAATAATTTTAACAAAATAAGAGAGATCATACAACATGCATGTTATTTTTGTATTTAGTACTGTCCTGAGTAAGATATTTTACATAAAATATGTTTACATTTAGTCCACAAGAAAAAAATAGCTGAAATTATTAAAATAACCCCATTCAAAAGTTTGGGAAATTACACTGTGAATAGCATTGATTAGATTTCCTGATATATCTCCTTTGTTTAACTGGATTTAATTTCTTCCTTAAAGGGGTCATATGATGCTTTTTTAAAGATCATTATTTTGTGTATTTGGTGTAACAGAATATGTTGACATGCTTTAATGTTCAAAAAACACATTATTTTTCAAATACTGTTCATTATTGTAAGTCCTCTATGCCCCGCCTTGTCATAGCAAAGTCAGAATTATCTCCTCTCCTAGGTTCATGAAACCGTCCATAAAATGCAGTGCTTTTGCTTTCGCCTAGAAACACACAGCGTCTCCCTGACATGCTGCATCAACACTAACTGAAACCAAGCCTTCTTTCTTTGCGTGAACATTTGGGCGGCATTATGCAAATATTTTCACATAGTGAGGTAGACATGTGGGGGCGTGTTAGAACGAGCCGTTTTAGGGGGGCGTGGCAGAGTCTTAACTTTGATAAAGAATATCTCTTTGGTTTTGAGACTTTAGTCTTTGCAACTTCAGGGATCTTATCTATGCACAATCAGCTTGTAACACTCCAAAGAGAAAGGAAAACTTGAAATCACATCATATGACCCCTTTAATGCCTAAACCATACTTGGAGTGTATGATCAAAAGTGCCAGTTCGATCAGAGTTTTATCAGTATGAATGAGTTAACTATGAAGGTTCTGACAGGATAGATACTGAAATTATGTGCAAGTGTGGAAACGATATCAGCTGCTAAAAGCTTCTTATAGCCTAATAAAGGAAACAACCTTTCCAGACCTGCATATGTCATGTGTTTCCCACAGTCTGCTGATTATTATGAATACAGTGTGACATGCATTTACAATGTCATAATCTGAAAACATACTCAGTACTTTACTGAAATAAATACTGACCTTTAGACTGTGTCAGCGCAATCACGATCTCCGGCTCTCTTGTTATGAGTGAGTTTCAGATTGACACAAGGTTCAGCAGATTAGGAGCATAATGGAGTCTAACTTGCTCTGTCAGTCAGGGATTGTAGTTTCTCCACGCAAAACCTTCAGTGTGCTCAGTGTTCCGAGTCCAGAGTGTTAACTGCTGTTAATGAGAGTCTAATTAATGACTAACTAGTTGATGTAAGTCCAGACATATGTATAGCATTACTGATAAGACAGAGAGAGAGAGAGAGAAAAGAATAGTTCAGGAAATAATGGTTTGCACAGCCTGTGTGTGTTTGGATGGTAAGAATAAGTGTGTCACACACTGACATTGTTGCCAAGTCGCACACTTCAAAGGCAGATTATGAAAGCTGAAGGGTTTGAGACAAAAAAAGAGCAGAAAGAAACATCAAAGTGTGGCACGTTTGAATGCAATAATTTCAAAACAGTTGTTCTGATTGCACTGTCTGCTATCAGATGTCTCTGTTGCTCATATTGCTTAAGATGAAACTCGTTTGTTTGTCAAGTCTCCTAAAGTCACACTTTCTCCACCCGAAAGCTTTAGAAAGACTGCTTATGAAAACCTTTCTTCTGTCTTTAATAGACTGTGCTACATACGTCTGTATAAGGCCCAAAATAGTCCTGTCAGAGTATATGTGTTACCTCTGTATGATTTTTTCATTCTTCTTATTTGCCCAGCTCATAGCAAACTTCTGAAAACATATAAAGCATGCAAGACTTGTTGATGGCATGTGCTTCTGTAGAAGCCACAAGTCAGTATGAATTCAACTTTTGGTAACACTTTAGTTTAGGTAACAAATTCTCACTATGAACTAGTTGCTCAGTAGCCTGCCCATATTTTAGATCCCTTAATCCTACCACATACTTAAACCTAACCACTTTAATAACTATTAATAAGCAGAAAATTAGGTGTTTATTGAGGTAAAAGTTAATAGTTAATTGAAGTTTTGTTTTAATGCCTATGGAGAGAATGAATGGGTAACAAACTTCTAGAACAAAGGCCTCTGCTCACATTGAGTGTGAAAGTGGCTGTTTGACCTCTTTTATTTTCATCTTCAAAGGCTCTATACAAATGCTGCAGAAGTTGTCTTCTAGAGCGTTTGGTTCACACTGATCCCCTCTCAGTAATCTTTTTTTCCCATAGATACCAGACATTGACATTGTCACAATGCATTCTGGTATTGCTGTATTGATGAAGCATGCATTAGAATGTGGCAAAAAACAGGTGACCTGAAATGCAGCCTACTGATTGTAAAGGCCTTCACATTCAAAGCACGTCTATGATGCCTTAAAATGTTCCCTAGGTAGGCTGCTGTCTTGCTGTTGAAACAGAGTGACTGCGTATTTTTGATGTACTGCTGTTAACCGTTTTTTTTTTGTTTTTTTTACCCTCTGTCTGATTGGCAGTAGCATGTGCTCCTACAACTAGTTCTTATGCAGATATGACTGTGGACATCCTTTCAGATACGTACCTGTGTTCAAAGCCATTCAGCCACATTGTGACTCACCTTGGTGCAGTTGTGTTCCTGCACGCAGATGGCAAGGAAGGACGCGTATGCTGGTCTGGTTTCAACCCACTGCTTAAACCCAGCAGTCCCATCATGCACAGCTGCTGTTTAAGCCTGGCTTTGCTCTCGAATTCTGCTGCCATGCCTGGCTGTGACATCAACAATAGCTCCCCACCTCCAGTGTCAAACCGCAGCACTTTGATCAGTGCCTCCATCACAGCAGGAGCCCTGCCATGCTGCACTCTTGCTCTGACATCACTCACGCAGCATGCGACAAATCTCGCAGAGCCTCATGCATCCGGGTCACATATGGCATGTGTCATTCTGATGCCGGCTTCTCTATTTATAACATACAGGAAGACAACATGAAGATATGTCCATGCTTTGTTGTCACTGCCAGCTTTAAGTTCATTAGTCTGCTCATCTGATCTAGTCTAGAATGGAAGTGTGATTTCCTCAGCCAAGCATACCTGCCTGTAACTTTCTAGTAATCCTGAAGACCTTGATTGGATTGTTCAAGTGTGTTTGATTAGGGTTGGAGCTAAACTCTGCATAAAAGTGGATCTCGAGGGCCAGAGTTGGGGTTCCCTGTGTTATGATGTTTTGAGTCATAGTCATAATATAACTAGTATATACAAAATACTGTATAAGTACCATTACGAATATATAAAGATTCAATGTACAGCATTCATAAATTGAACAAAAACACACCTGATGCACATTCTTTATTCATTATTTTGTAGAAGTAGAGTTAAAAATCTTTTTTGTAGATCCGTTTTGCTCCAACAAAAGTAACACGCTGAAAAAATATTAGCTTAAAAAAAATTATTCAACCGTTTGCATCAACTTTTTGAGTAATGACAACTTCCAATGAAATTATGTTCAACCAAGACACTACACTGAGTTAGAATAACTTAATTTGTAATGTAAACATATTTTTAAGTTGATTACTCAAAAGAAAAAAAAAGAACTTCAGCTAATGGATTTTTGGTCCTGGAACCAATTTATGCTATCTTTTTTTCAACACTTTATTTTAAGGACCAATTCTCACTATTAACTAGTTGCTTATTAGCATGCGTATTACTAGCATATTGTTTATTAGTGCTTATAAAGCACATATTAATGCCTTATTCTACATGACCATATTTTAGATCCCTTAATACCTAAACTTACCACAAAAACATTACAGCATAACAAAACAGAAATACTTTCAAATGTCAAACATAACAGCATTAAACACTAACAGGTCTTTCCCTTCACTAAAAAAACTATTCTTACTCTTCTTATCCAGTCCTATGCAAAGCATGCTGGGAACTAGAAATCCACTACCCAGTTTTCAGAGTTAACAAGACAATTTTATTGAGTTACTACAACTTAGAAATTCAATTAATGCAGAAATTTGAGTTTAAATTACACACAGTATTAAGTTAATGTGATGATC